GCTTCCTTTTGAGTGAGGTAGGAAATAACGAAAAAGGAAAAGGTAACACAAGTATTTCTGACGAAAGCCTGTAAACCGCAAACACTGCTCCTGCCACCCTGCAGAAAAAGGAGCCAACTTACACCTTCTGTCATGGGGCCTGGGAACAAGTTCCAAAAGAAACCCTGCACGTTAGGAGAGAAATGTGCACCTGCACCGAAGCCCAGAGGCTCTTCCTCTCCTTGGGGGGGGGGGTGCAGTCTAGCCTGTGACCCAGAGCTGCAGCACGACACAGCCAAAGTGCCTCACCTCAAACGCTGCGGAGATGACCTTTGCTTTCTTGCTAAGCACGGAGCCCACCGCGTTGAAGTTTTTGTCTCGGATCTCAGCATAGAGCTCCTCTGCAGAATTCAGCTGAAGCTTCTTTGCTTCCGTGGGGAGATCCTTCCCAGCATCGCCCTGCTTCTTCGGTGCAAATTTCTCCGGAGGTAATTTCACATAACCTGAACGACAGTGGAAGGGAGCAAGCACCTGTGTGCCTTTACTGGCAGAATGGATCAAAGTGCCGGGCACAAAACAGGATTTTCCAACTCAGGAGAGAAGTAAGCTAGCTTTAGGAAACAATGGCATATAATACTAAGGTTTTGATTTTTCCACGATCAAAGTACGCTTTGATCATAAAGAAATACATCAGGACTTATTATTAAACATTTCTGAAATTTTAAATGCTGACAGAAATAAACAAGCATGGTGTGGGCCAAAACCAAACCAACATGTTTGTGAACTTTGACCTAATGATCTGTCACACCTAAACGCTAGGAGGCCTCCCCCATCTTCCATCTTGTGTCTCCAACCTCGAGTGTCGGCCCTTCCCTGGATACGCCCCACTGCAATGTCCACAGCAGCATCCCTGTGTCTCTGATGAGGCCTGCCACTCGCTGTGGCCCTCTATATCTACCCCTCCCCAAACCCAGTGCAAATGCCACCTCTCCAACAAGCTTTCCCAACAACCGCCAGCCACGAGGGTCTGCATTCTCCAAACCGCAGTGCCACCTACATCTAACCCAGGGCCACTGCTCACAGGGACAAGCAGAGGCCTGCACACTAAGCATCCGGCCAGCTTTCGTGGGACCGACAACAGCAGTTTTTGCTTGGATTTTGTTTAATCTGGTGTCTGAAAGCCAAAAGTCAGTATTGTATTTTCTCAAATATCCTCCAATTTAAGAAAGCATCTCCTAAAAAAAAAAAAAAGACCTTTTGGAGATTTCTATCCAATGACCTTTCAGGAAACACAGAGGTCACTTTACTTACTGTTCTGAATGCCATAAATTTCATCAATGAGTCCTTCATATGTAAGCTGAGTGGCGAGAGGCGTTAATAAGTCCACGTTTCGATCGAGCAACAAGAGATTATCAAAAACAGGAAATATTGAATTTTGGCTTCCTGTAAACTCTCTCTTCATCCTGATCATCATATTGGCCACTTGCTGGAAAAAAAACATTGGATCAGGTGGGACTTTCCTGGGAAATAGCCTAGTTTAAAATGTAGCTAAAAACAGAAAGACAATCAAAAAATTTAAAAAGGAGAGGGAGCCTGGGTGGCTCAGTTGGTTAAGCGACTGCCTTCGGCTCAGGTCATGATCCTGGAGTCCCAGGATCGAGTCCCGCATCGGGCTCCTTGCTCAGCGGGGAGTCTGCTTCTCCCTCTGACCCTCCCCCCTCTCATGCTCTCTCTATCTCATTCTCTCTCAAATAAATAAATAAAATC